AAAAAATCCCCAAACAAAAAACCAAACCATTTCTAGAACAAAAAACGTCCGTGCCCTGAACTGCTCCCTCGGATAAAAGGGAGAAAACCCTGTGGGAAGGCAGAATGGTGGGGACATAAATCCAAATATTGAAATTTCCAAAGGGGACAACCTCCAACAGCGCGTACCTTTCTTTCTTTCCTTCCTTCCTTCTTTCTTTTTCTTCCTTCCTTCTTTCCTTCCTTTCTTTCTTTCTTTTTCTTCCTTTCTCATTCATTCTTTCTTTCTTTTTCTTTCTTTTCTTTCTTTCCATTCTTTGTTTCTTTCCTTCCTTTCTTTCTTTCCTTCCTTTCTTTTCTTTTCTTTCTTTCTTTCTTTTTCTTTCTTTCAAATTTCTAGGAACCTGGACATTTACTGGTGTATTTCATGCCCACTGGGGGAAAAAAAAAAAGAAATTCCCCCCCATCCACCCCCCCCCAGTCTTCTGGGTCATCTACAAACAAAGCTGCCGCCCCAATTTCGAGAGTCAACGGAGCATTCTATTTTCCATGGTTTGCCTCCCACGCATCCCCCCACCCATTTCAGTTTTTGCCCTTCCGCCGCCTCCCCCAGTCCCACTCCAAGCTTCGGGCAGAATTGCTTAGGATCCCTAACCAATACCCAAGGAATCCCCCTGCACCCACCCACCCCCCACATTATTATCGCCTCCAAATGAAGACCAAAACCAAGAGCGCTAATTGAATTAGTCTATTGAAAGGACTGTCAGGTACAATGACGTGGCTCGAGGCCCCACATTTCCCAAGGTCTATAGGCTTTGGGGACCTGCAATGTATAGTCTGACCTTCTGGCTCATAATAATACCGCGGCACTTGTAGCAGAAATCTCCTCGCATTCACTCCCAACAAAACCGCTGGTCACCCAGTCCCCGTAGGAAGGCTGCACGCTATTGTGTTGCGACAACTCATTCATGTCCCGCGCCACAAGGCCCCACCGCCATCTGATCTACACTCGAAATGCGATTACCACCGTGTGCATGCAACACGCTCGCACTCTCGGCCCATCGTGCACACGCCTGGCCAGGCTGCAAGGGTTTCCTTCACAATTCTCCTCACACCCATCCTCAAAAGAGAGGGGGAAAGAGGCAGGACCATGACATTTGTCTCTGTCTAAACGAGATCCAAAATTCTGCAGGGATGCAGGCTGGCGGGAGATCTCTTTTTTTGGAACAGCATGCACCCAAGCCCACACAAACACATTTCTCCAGGCCCAACTGGCTGGTGAGGCAGAATCGGGTGTATACTCTGAAGTGTACATACACGAGCCTCCTGCCATGCACACAAATACACAGACACACAATCAGGGCTTTTATAGACTCTCTTTGTGGTTCTCGCATTCACAAGCAAATAGACAAAAATACAGGGTTTGGCCCCTACAGCCATGGGCCACTCTGCAAATTGATAAGTGGTTTTTGCAAGAATGGGAAGAGGAGAAACAAAGGTATAATTTCTCAGCCTTCACCTTGAAAAGCACTCATCAGTCTTCTGCTATATGACCCTCAGACTTCTCTAGCACCCCCCAAACACACAAACATACTTCCTGTCTGTTTGGCCAGGTGCCTTTTGCTCCACAGAAGTTCCTGTTAGCCACAGAGAATGCAGAAAATGGAGGAAGTAGTCTGGGACTGGGAGAGAGGCAGTAGGGTTGGGGTCTCTCTCTATCCTGCTTCCCCCACCCCCCACACCACCACCAGTGAAAGCCTCTTTGGGCCCCCTCCTTCCCTCAAGTGGGGAAACAAACCATAGGGGCTCCCCTCTTCAGCATTTAAAACAAAACATCTTTCTCCTTATTCTCCACTTGAACGTGGGCTGGGTATGGAAACGAGCTTGGGGCCGATCTATTACACAGATGTGGCTAGGTCAGTGGCCTTCTGTGGAGCCTCTTGCCCTGGGGAAACTGCACAACTCAGAACTTCAAGGCAATGGAAAGGGGCACTGGGTGCCTCCAAACTTCCATACCTTTAGCCCAGAAGCAGAGGGCGTTTGGAGAAAGGGACTCCATTCTCTTCCTTGTAGATTTCCCCACCTGCTTCCTGTCAATCTACCTGCTGGCCATCCCCACCTGGATATCTATCAAGTTGGAAGAAATTCCTTAATTCTCGAAGGCAGAAAAGAGTACCCCAAACGCACAGCCACACAAATGTATTCAGACGTGCACACCCATGGCTCCATCCACACACAACCCCTTTACCCACATACAACTCACCCTGACGGTACTTTCTCACCCACACGCCCAGTCCTGAGCCCTCTCCGAGTCCTCTGGACCCCCTCACACACCCATCTCGGCCAACATTTGCTCACTCTCAGCACACACACACCTCACTGCCTGGCTTGCTTGGACACCAACCCGCTAGCATAGTATGTTCATTTTCAGGACGGAGAAGAGGGCGTGGGCCCGGGTGGGGGCCGTGGAGAGCTGACGGTGCTGGGTGCGGAGCATGGGGGGCGCAGGCCCGGCCTGGGGGAGGTGGGGGGGGACCAGGCAGCTCGCCGGAGCGCCGCCTAATCCAGCCTGAGCTCGTGGGCCGCGGGTGCATTTATCATCCCATTACTGTAACAAATCCGGGCTCCACTACATGAAAGGTAAAATGAATTACCGACGTTAAGCCGTCAATAAAGTCATTTCTGTAAATGGTGTCTCCAAAGGGCCGCCGCATTATTCAGCTGGCTTTATCAGCTGGCTGGAAATTACGTGGAAGAGCCGGGCCGCGCGGCGCGCGGGGCCGCTCACTTTGATTAAGCGTCTTGCCAGCGCGATGTGACAGAGCTTTTGACCAGGGTTTTATTCACAGGCCTGTGATGAACGCCAAGCTGATCAGGCGGAATGAAGAGTAATTAAAACCTATAAATTATCTTCCGCAGCCCTTCTCGAGGCGTCTCCTGCAGGCGAGATAAGGCGTCGAGACCCTATTTACGGCGCTGAAAGGGACGGCGGCGCACAAAAGCTACGCGGCTAAATAGGATATTGATAGTGTCCTAATTAGAATTTAATTAAGTACCCACGCTCGCTTGCGGGATAAAGATTTCAATTTTGCGAACTTAAATATAAATAAAATCCCACCCCCATTTCGGGGAGAAAAGGTGGGGGCACCGGGAGATTTCGGGGACCCCTTGGGTGTAGAACTGAAGAGGACCCGGTAGACTCCAAGGTGGGGTTAGAGGAGCAGCTTGGGAGGGTTGAGGACATCACGGCTGGCCTGCTTAGCGCAGCGCTCCCGAAAATGGTTCGGGCAGCCCCCAGGCCGCGGGGCAGGTCTAACCGGGATCTGTGAGAGCCCCGGGTATAAGAAGCCCCTCGGCTGACCCGAAGATGCAGCGGGCAATCCGAACTCTCGCTCTCCACCAGTCCCTCGGAGAAACTTCGGCTCCTGCGGTGGTTCGGCCTTTTGCGGTTTTCGTTTTATTTTCCTCCTAACCCTCTGTGACTTTTCGGGGCATGGGGGATTATTCTGTATTGTCCTGTAAGGCAATATCCCCAGAGACCCTTTCTCCGCCGTCCCAGTTGAGGATGGCGGACAGGGAGAACAGGTTCTCTGGAGCTCCAAGCTAACATCCCTAAGAAGGCCTAAGTTGCCCAAGCCTTCCTAGCCACTCTCCCGCACCGCAGGCTTCAGGACAGTCTGAGCCTGGCCTTCCAAAACAGCCGGGCAGACAAACCCTGCTGGTGTCCAGCGCCTCCCCTCCCCTCACGCCATCCTTGGCGACGGGAAAACTTTTAGGGTACCTCGACCAGGAAACAGCGAAAAAGAGCCCAGCGGAATGGAGACGGGTCTCCGCGAGCGTGGAATTGGCATGAGCCTCCGCGCTCCCCCCAAAGCTTGGGAAGAAAATGCGGGGTTAGAGCCAGAGGCCTCCAGGGAGTCGGGAGCAATTCCAGAGAGATCTGGGCAACCGGGGTAAACTCGTCCACATCGTCAGCTGGCTAGGACTAACACTTAGGGTGCAGTACTTTCATTTGTTTGATTTCACTTCCCAGGAAAATCTAACCGGAGGTTGCCCTGAACCCAAAAGCCGTGCCTCGCGCACATCGGCACTCAGACTTGCTTAGCCCGTGGGCCCGCCCAGGACAACTCCACGATGCCGGGATGGCTTCGACTCCAGCGGCCAGGGAAAGAACAGGCGCCTGGCGCGACCCGCGCTCGGGCTCTCTCGCGCCCTCTGGGCTTGGCTTCATGGCGTCAGGACAGCTCCCGGGGGTTGTCGAAGGTCCGGACAGGGTAGGACAGGAGTACGGATACTCCGGAAAGGACACGCAATGCAGCTGGCCGGCATGCACTGCAAAACCTACAGACAGACGCTAGCTAGGCGCAGCTGGCCTCCGGAGTTTGCTATTTATGAAAAAATAAACTGCTTCTCTGAAAGTAACCAACTCTTGGTCTTTTTCACATCTCTGACCCTCTTCGTCTCACCGCTCTCCCTACACACACACACAGACACAGACACAGACACACACATACTGATATTTCACCCTTCATAACAAAAAGAGAGAAAATAAAAGCCTGAGTTTCTTAGGCATAGGGATGTAAAAGAGCCGAGGCCCCCCTGCTTCCTGACCCTGTGCCCGGCGCGCACGCACCCATAATCCTGCATTTCTCCAACAAGTTGTTTATGGAGTTGCTTCTCTATTTGCCTACACCCCGAAATCCACCCCTCCCTGGTCTCCTTTGCCCCTTTCTCGGTCCCGGCTTGAAAGAGGGGGAGGGGCTCGGCGCGGGTGGGGGAGGGCGGGCCGGACGCGCGGGGCCCTAGCCGCGGCGCCCCCTCTCCGCCAGCGGCCGCCGCCCCCGGATTATTTATCTGCAAAGTCCCGCGCGCGCCCATTGGGCCGAGGCCCGGGTGTCAGCGCGAGTCCTGGCTCGCCATTGGCCCCGCACACGTGCGGCCTGACTCACGTGCTTCCGGTTTGAAGGCAAAAAGTGTGCCTGGGTGATTTTTTTTTAAGCGAGAGAGTTTGTGCAAAGATCCGAGCTGTCAGAGATTTGAAAAAAAAAAAAAAAAAAAGGCAGCCCCGGCGCTGGCGGAGACGCGCTCTCCCTGCAAAAAAAGCAAAGGCGATTAAAGGCGCTGCCAGCCTCGCGCTCTGGGCACAGCTTAGCGTGACACTCGGGGAAGTCAAACCCCTCACTACTGCCTAGGAAGATGGCTAGACTTTAAAGACTATTTTTTTCCCTTTAAGAAAAAAAATTCCTTGGAGCTTTTTTTCTTTTCTTTTTCTTTTTGTTTTCTTTTTTTTGGCCGTGGCTTACTCCCCATTTAAAACAAATCATTGAATCTGGTTGCAGAAAGAAAAAAAAGAAATAGCCAAGTGTCTCCATATCTGGATGTCTACAAATTAGAGAGAGGGAGAGACAGCGAGATCTATCTGCTCGATAAGAGCGAGCGATCCCGGCCAGACGCCTGGGTTTTTTTTTTCCTGCACCCGCCCCGTGCCTTCGCTGGGGCTTCGCCGGCCTCCTTCCTCCGCGCACCCCTACGGGCCGCTGGCAAAGTGGGGTGGGGAGCGAAGCGGGGGGGGCGGGGGCCGGCGCGGCGGCCGGGGCGGCGGGGCGGCCGAGCATGGAAGAACAGCAGCCGGAACCTAAAAGTCAGCGCGACTCGGGCCTCGGCGCGGCGGCGGTGGCGGCGGCCCCGGGCAGCCTGAGCCTGAGCCTGAGCCCCGGCGCCAGCGGCAGCAGCGGCAGCGATGGAGACAGCGTGCCCGTGTCCCCGCAGCCCGCGCCCCCCTCGCCGCCCGCGGCGCCCTGCCTGCCGCCCCTGGCCCACCACCCGCACCTCCCCCCGCACCCCCCGCCCCCGCCGCCGCCGCCGCCGCAGCATCTCGCGGCGCCTGCTCACCAGCCGCAGCCCGCGGCCCAGCTGCACCGCACCACCAACTTTTTCATCGACAACATCCTGAGGCCGGACTTCGGCTGCAAAAAGGAGCAGCCGCCGCCGCAGCTCCTGGTGGCAGCGGCGGCCGGAGGAGGCGCAGGAGGAGGCCGGGTCGAGCGTGACAGAGGCCAGACCGGCGCAGGTAGAGACCCTGTCCATCCGCTGGGCACGCGGGCGCCGGGCGCCGCCTCGCTCCTATGCGCCCCGGACGTGAACTGTGGCCCACCCGACGGCTCTCCGCCAGCCGCCGGCGGCGGTGCGGGTGCGTCTAAAGCCGGGAACCCGGCGGCCGCGGCGGCCGTGGCGGCGGCGGCAGCGGCAGCGGCCAAGCCTTCGGACAGCGGCGGCGGCAGTGGAGGCGGCGTGGGGAGCCCTAGTGCGCAGGGTGCCAAGTACCCGGAGCATGGCAACCCCGCCATCCTGCTTATGGGCTCAGCCAACGGCGGGCCCGTGGTCAAAACTGACTCGCAGCAGCCCCTCGTATGGCCCGCCTGGGTGTACTGCACGCGCTACTCGGATCGCCCGTCCTCCGGTGAGTACCCAACCCCGGGCTGCGCCATGTCTTTCGGGCCCGTGGACGCCCCCAGAACTCTCAGCCGCCGCCGTGCTGGGGAGAGCAGACCCGGCCTTGGGTGCTCTCTTCTCTCACGCCTGCTTCCTCCTGACCCCCGTCTCAGTCACAGCCGGGTGTGCCCCCAGTCCTGCGCTCCTGGCCTCTGTGGCCACCACTCGAGAGGCTATACAGCTCCTGGCTCGGGAAGCTCGAGTCTCGATCCTTCCTTCGGTGTTGAACTCCGAGCCCCTCGGGCCTTCTTTGTGTTTTACCTTTATTATTCTTAGAAAAAACACAATCAGCCATTGATTTTTCTTCCAGGGAGAGAGGTGTTTAGAGCAGGCGGGAAGGTGGGCCTAGCGGTCTGGGTCTGAAATCCCTCTAGCCAGGTCCTGCGGAGGCCGAAATGGAGCCAGGCTCTGATCAGAGAAATAATCGTCACCTTGTGTTCTTACAAACACAAACACCGTCTCGACATTTTCTGAGGCGAGTTCATTTACAGTGAGATAGATTGGAGGACACACGGAAAGAAGAAAAAAGCCTTTGATAGCCCTGCCTCTTCCCCAGGCCGGGTAAGCTAGGGAGTCTGACCCGGGTGGGTAGAATCCAGGGAAAGATAGTTGCCAAAACGGTCGGTGCCGAGAGAGCCCTGGCTCCTGGTTCTCTAGAGCTCACAGACAGTGGGAGTGGAGAGGAGACCGGTCAGGCTCGGGCCAGATCGCGGGGGCACGGGGCATGATTGGCAGCCTCCTCGGCAGCTTCTCCGTGGCGCGGCGCGCACACCCTCTGGCCCTGCCCTTTCTCCTTCTTTCACTCCTTTCTTCCCTGTATCTGCCAGTTAGCAGATTTCTGCCAGCTGTAAGTTGTTTTTCTCGACTTCCTTCGGCCCTTTTCTCGCGTGTTCCTCGCGCTTGGAAACCCCGAGGCCGAGAGACCTGCGCTGGGACAGTCCTAGGCCCCAGGAGAGGAGGCTGGGGCCTGCCCGCCTCCCGGGTCGGCAGCGCCAGAGAGGCCCGTGGGCGCAGCGAGGAGGACGGCAGGGGTTCTGGCCTACAATTGGTGTTTCGGGCACCCGGGTCCGGTAGAGGCCGGGCACAGCGTAGCCATGCGCCGCTCTACTCCGGCTGGTGTCCAGCCTCCCCACGGTTGCCGGCCGGGCGCGGATCGATGCGCGCTATCAGCCCCCGCCATCTCGAGCCCCGTTATTGACACGTCGGGCTCCCTGAACCTCCGAAAAGCTGCTTTGATTGACTCGCCTGATGGATAGAGTGATTGAGCTGTCAGGCTGGGCGGCTCAGGCTGGCCAGGAGGCTACGATTTTATTACAAGTATCCGTGCCTCTGCACACACATACACAACAACACTCTCACAACATCCCGGACGCACAACGCACAGCGAGGCCTTTCCGGAGATGTGCACATTTCCTGGACCATCTCTTCCCGCTCAGCTAATTATTAATCTAAACCAAGGCCGTCCTTCCTCCCCACCCCACCTCTCAGTTCTCTCCGCACGGCGCTTAGGAGTGGGCCTTGCCTTTGTTCTTGGCCGCTTTCCCTCTTCTGTGCCAGGGGAGTAAGGGGACGGGCTCCTCCCGTCCCCTGCATGGGCAGTTCAGGGAGACGAACCTCAGCCCAGACCTGAGTCGCTGCAGTCAGCCAGGCCTGGACTCTTCTGTCACAGGACAGCTGGTGACCCCAGGCGCTGGCCTGTCCGCGGAGCCAAGCAGCCCAGCTTGCCCCTCTTGCTAGGTTTGGAGATGCTGGTGAAGACCCTTCTTTCCAGACAGTTTCTGATATTAAAAGGCCGGACAGGGACTTAACATGGCTCAGGAAGCTCCCATAACCACGACAGGGCCCACCAAGTAAATGCCGGAAAACTTGGGTCTAAGGCTGAGGAACAGCTTTAAAGGCTGTCTCCTCTTTCCCCCTCCTCTCTCCAGGGCTGGGCTCCACAGCAGCTCTCTTCCCACACTAGGTTTTGGGAGAATCTTCACATTCTTGGGGAGATTTGCTGGGGCCTCTTCCCATATCCGTCTTAGGGGCAAAGCACCGATTTCTGTCCACATTGTCCCTCCGTCTCTCTCCCTCTGCCCGTATTTTGCTCATGAATGGGGGGAGGACCGATGGAGTCTCCTTGCAAATGTCATCGATGGGCAAGGGAAGCATATCTGGCCTGTTTTTGTTATACAGGACTTTTCAATCCTGAAACTGCAGCTTATGTGTTCGAAAGAGAGAGAAGGGAGACCTTGCCTGTACAGCTAGGTGGAGGAATGGGGAGGGTCCTCTCTTTCTTACTGGCACCATCCAAGGGGCAAAGCAGAGAACCCTGGAGACCAGGGTCATGTGGGTAAGGTGTGCAACTGGGTGAAAGCCTTGTTCCGCCTTCAGAGAAGGAGGTGGTTAATGTCTCCCTGGGACCCTAAAAAGGGCTTCCTTTAGGCCAAAGAGAAAGGAGGAGCCCAGAGAACATACACCAAAGACTTTGGATCTAGGCAAGCCCCTCACAGTCCCCTCCCTATCCCCCTGTTTTCTGGGGTCAATAGCTACAAGCAGAGGGGATCTTATCATCGTAAGTGCTGGGCGTAGGTGCGCTTCTTGAGGAGGAAGGGAGGATTAGTTTGCAGGCTGGCCATTCCCTCAGGGCAGCCCTGCCCGGTGTCTTCACTGGCCCCGGCTTGAGCCTCTTTTTATTCCAGGGCTGTGAAGACAGCAGGCCCCTGACCTCCAACTCTGGGATCCACCGGATGGGTCTCCAAATATCTCTCCATCTTGGATTAGGGGATTTAAGCGTGGCACGCTGCTCTCTGGTTCCGCGAATTGGGGTGTGGGATGCACGGACAAGCTCGGCCGGTTTTCCTCCGCGGCCCTTCTGGCCCCCCAGAGAACTTGGCGACCCCAGCAGCCAGGCGATTGATCTCGGGGCTAGTTGGCGGGAGGGAGCCAGGGGCGCAGCAGGGCCTCGGCTATCGCCCCGGAAGCGCGGGGCGCCATCCCCGCTCGGCTCTGCAATTCTCACGGCTTCCTCTGCCCTCTCCCCCCTCCCCTCTGCCCTCCGTCCCCACCCCCACCCGGCCCTCTCCGCCGCTGCAGGTCCGCGCACCAGGAAGCTGAAGAAGAAGAAGAACGAGAAGGAGGACAAGCGGCCGCGGACGGCGTTCACGGCCGAGCAGCTGCAGAGACTCAAGGCGGAGTTCCAGGCGAACCGCTACATCACCGAACAGCGGCGGCAGACCCTGGCCCAGGAGCTCAGCCTCAACGAGTCCCAGATCAAGATCTGGTTCCAGAACAAACGCGCCAAGATCAAGAAAGCCACGGGCATCAAGAACGGCCTGGCGCTGCACCTCATGGCGCAGGGACTGTACAACCACTCCACCACCACGGTCCAGGACAAAGACGAGAGCGAGTAGCCGCCCGCCGGCTGGGGCCGCGCGGTCCGGCCGCCGCGCCCGCGCCACCTCCTGGCATCGCCGCCGCCGCCGCCCGGCCGGCCCCACACCGGGAGAGAAAGAATCCGCGCACAGGAGGGAGGGAGCAACAGGGAAGAGAGAGAGAGAGAGATTCTCAGAATGGAGAGTCACGTTTGAACGAAACATTTTTAAAAAGGGAGAAAGACTCGGACAGGTGCTATCGAAAAATAAGATCTATTCTCTATTCACAGTATAAGGGGCGAAACTGCGAACTCCTTAAAGCTCTATCTAGCCAAACCGCTTACGACCTTGTATATATTTAATTTCAGGTAAGGAAAAGAAATATGTGTAGCGATCTCTATTTGCTGGACTTTTTATTAATCTCCTTTATTATTATTGTTATAATTATTATAATTATTATAATTATTTTATCCCCCACCTCCGCCTCGCTGCCCCCGGCCCAGTTTCGTTTTCATTGCCTTTTTTCTTTTGAATGTTGTTGCTTCTCCGGTGCCTCCCGCCCCGCATCGCTGGCCCTCGTTTCTCTGGGACTTTTCTTTGTGTGCGTGAGAGTGTGTTTCCTCGCGTGTCTGCCCTTCGCCTCTTCCCCGCCTCCCCAGCCCCTTCTGTCGGTCTGTCCTGCTCCCCTTTCGTTTTCCGGAGACTTGTTGAGAAATACGACCCCACAGACTGCGAGACTGAACCGCCGCTACAAGCCAAAGATTTTATTATGTTCAGAAACCTGTAGTCTGAAATAAAGTGTACACTGTGCTCACGAGCCGTTGGCGGCCCTCCTCCTTGCGGGCTCGGGAAGGGCGTGGGCGCAGGGCACGCGAGGGCCCCGCGCGCATCGCGCACACACCGGGCGGCGAGCCCCGGGCGGCCCGGCCCGGCCTTGCGATCATCGCACGACGAGTACCGGCGGCAAGACGAGCGCGCCGCGGTAGAGGCGGCCCAGGGCCGGGTAGGTCCCGGTCTGGAGGGTCCGGAGGCCCACTCCTGGTCTCTGATGGCGTCCAAAGGAGCCCAAAGACAAAACAAAACAAAAAACAACAAACCCGAGCCCTGACTTCGGAAACACTGCCAGGGCGTCTGGCTGCTCCCTGTGCTGGCCCAGGCCCAGCCTGGCTTTGCCCTCCTCCTGCTCACCCTGCCCCGCTCCTTGCTTCGGCCTGCACCTTTCCCTTTTCTGTCCTTCCTCCCCTTACAACCCCATGCGGGTTTTGCTTGAGGTTTTCCCCTCCAGAAGCGCAAGGCCTTCCCAAGGCCGGCAGAGGTGAGGGGCTGCCTCCAGGTCTGAGCTGCCCACGAGGGCGAGGGGCTCTTGGGCCGGGCTTCTGGGCCTGGTCTCTAGGCCGCCGGGACTTCACCGCTCTTAGTTCGGAGAAGTGATTCCGTTCGCGAAGCGGCAGGTCGAGGGCGGCCTCTCTTGGTCAGGCATAGCCCAGGGAGAAGAGGCCTGGATGCTGGGAAGCGATGCTGCTGGGATCATTTTGGGGCCGGAATTCCCACGTGGGCACAGGCCTGCCTCGCCCAGAGCCAAAACCTAAGCGGGAACACTCTCCGAATGCCAACAAAGGTTTGCTTCCTGCTTGAGGGGGGAGGAGGCACAGACACAAGCCTTCTGAACCCTCAGGGCACGTGGTCTTCCCAGAGGGAAATGTCTGCACTCTTGCCCCTGACCCTGGGGCCTTCCCTTCCTGGGCAGGCACTGGGCCCCCTACCTTCAGGGACTAGGAGGAGGAAAGGAAGGTCCCTTTTGTCCAGGATTTGTTTTTTAATGGTAAATCCTCCTTTTCTCCTTTCTTCCTGTCTTCTGAAATATGTGTATGTACCTGTCCGTGTGTGGCTAGATATGTAGGTGTCCTTGCAGACTCATGTGCATATGTGATCACGTGCAAATGTAGGTGCATCTGAGGAGTTACCTGGTTTCGTGTGTCCCTGCATGTCTGAGTATTGTGCTCACTGGGTGTTCATTTCTCTGTAATTAGATGCACACTTGGATGTTTGTGAGCTTGCGGTGTATGTACATGGTCCATTAGTATTTGCACACCAGAATGCCTGCAGGTGTGTTTATGGGGCTGGTGCATGCATGGGAACTCTGTTTCTGTGTTATTCCCTTGAGTTTCTTCCCTGTTGTTTTTGCAGGATTGATTCTGTGAGAAGTGAGAATGGTCATTCTTCCTTTTTCCTTGAGAAACTTCCCGCTGATTTGGGCCTATGTCCTGGGAAGTGACAGGGCTAGTAGGCTCCAAGTCCCTGCTCAAGGGTTTGGGAGCCTGAGGTTCAATGGCCTGGAGCTGGAGAGCGTATTTGATATTGCCATGGGTTCCCAACCTTATTGCAGTAAATCTTTTCCTCCCCTTCACGCCTTCTTGGGCTGTGTAGGCTAACCTCTGCACATAATGGGTGCTTACCCACTCCTTGAGTGAAGAGTTGGAAGCAGAGGCCAGGGGTGGCCCTTCCTTCGGATGGCCCCCGAAAATGGTTTTCTGGTGGTTGGATGTACGTCCTTTGCCTTTCTTGGTGGGGAAGGGGGCTCAGGATCTTCAGGCTCTCCAGGGCTTCAGGTTAGAGGGTCTGAGACTTGGAGCCCAGGGTCCTCTTCCCCTCATCCACAGAGCTCAGAACATCAGGAAGGGTCCTGGCCACCTCCTGATGTGGTGTTGGGGGCGCTATGCTCTACAGAGAACCTGATCCTTTGAGTGCCTGGAAATGGGGCTACCCTTTCTTTGCCTTTCATCACGGTGGCCCTTAGGGTACCTAAGCCCTTCGAGACCACCAGATAGAGAGGCTGGGGCAGGGGCCAAGGCCAGGAGCCATCCTGTTTCTTAAGGCTCCTCTTCACCACTCTCAGGAGGTCAAAGCCAAGAGCTCTTCCCCTCAACCCTGGGGGAGAAGGAGGAGGTGATGACCCCTCCCTAAGATTGTATTAGTAAAGCTTATGGATCTGTTATTATTATGTAATTTGATTTCTTCCCCATATCTCCTTTTATATTCCAACCCCTATGGGCGAAGAGAATTTTCTTCGTTGTTCAGTGGAGAAAACTCAAGCTCAAACGACTTACATATTTGGTCCATGCCTTCTCTGTGGCTGTGTGTCTTTTTCTATGTCATCTCTACTCTTAACAACTGCCTTAACCTCAGGAATCCGGCCCTGGCCCTGACTTTCCTACCTTCCTGCCTTCCTCATCCCCATTTCCCCTTCTTCCTGATTGGGGCTGAGGAGAGAGGAAGAGGACTCTGGTCAGACCTCTTTCTTGTTCCCCCTCCAAAAAAAGAAAGTAATAATAATCATAAACAAGCATTGATTTCTCTGATTTATGGGGCTGGCTTAGGGAGTCGCCTGTGTATTAAAAAGTCTGAGGTTGCATCGAAATAAATAGTTGAGTGTGCTATCCCAACTTCCTCATTTTCTACCTTTAAAAAAAAAAAAAGATCAGATTGAACCATAAACTTAAATCTTCCTCAGCCCAGAAGGAAATACACACTAGCCGAGTCTAAACAGTATTGATCCCTGGCTCTTTCTGAGGGCAAAGGTCTCTGTTTTCTTGCTCAAAATTCTTGTTCCTTCAGTAGGGTCAGGGGTGGGCTGCAGATGGAGGAGGGGATATTGGGATGTGTGGGGCTGCGGTATGTGTGTGTAAGCGTCTATGTTTGTGGGTTGTATGCTGAGGGGCCTTTGTATAGGGGTGGCATTAAGTATATTTGTTCAGGCTTGGGAGGTGAAAGTGTGTGTTTGGGGTGTATGGCTGCCAATAGTTTCGTGTTTGTGAGTATGTGTATGTGTGGCCAATTCTCAGGGCCCCTAGGCTGGGCTGCCCAGGGCACAGAGAGGGAGTGGCCTGCTAGTCTGCTCCTTACCTGGCTCCCACAGCCCCATGACCTATTCGGGATTTCCAGAGATGATCTCACCAGGGAGGTCGCTGTGTCCCGGTTTCCCCCTACCCCAACTCCCCCATCCAGTGCCCTCAGTAAAAGGCCTACTTGCATAGGCAGGGCTGAGCCTTGGCTGACTCCCTAGAGGCCAAAGGCCACAGCCAGGGTTGGAGAGGCTCTGGCCAGACTCCTTACCCTGGATGAAGGTGGTTCTCTAGAGGGGTCATCAGCTCTTCCAATGGTTAGCCTAGATTTTCCTTTTTGTGTTGGAGAAAACCCTATTCCTCTGGTAATAGAAGCTGCCTTCCACTATGCTCAGACATGGGCAGGGGGCGGGGAGGGGCAGGGAGGCCGGGCAGCAGCCCTCCCTTAGCCTTGCCTCACCTCAGGGTGGGTTCCAAATGGAGTAATCCCTCTGGGGGAGGTGGCAGAGTATTGCTCCATCCCTCTGAACACCCCCCACCCCCCCAGACTGCTCTTCTCCCAATTTGAACTCAGGTGAGAGGGCTACTCTCCTGTGGCAACTTGTGGAAGGGGGACTCTGCCAATCCCCATTCCTCCCCCAAATGCTTTAGGCCAGTCTTTTAATGAAGTCCCATTGTTGGGAGGGGGTCCTCAGGGATTCTGGAATAAAAAGGTTTCATTTCACAGGCAGGGGTGGGGGGGTTGGGGGAGGGTTGGGGGGGAAGTCCTGAGAGAGTAAGTACCTCATTTAAAAGCACACAGCAAGGGAGAGGCAGCCCCCCCCCAGCTTTCCTAGGAGTCCAGTGTCCTTGCCGCTGTACCACCGAGTGGGTAGAGTTACTGCACAGCCGGCCACTCCGCACACGTGCACATGCTTCTGCACATCAAAGAGCACACGCATGCATTCATCCATGTGTACACGTGCACACACATGTAGAAAATGTGCACATATACAAAGAAATGTACATGGGCTGATGTGTGGAGGCGTGTTCCCAGCGAGCACAGGGACATTGCCTGTGTAGAAGCTTCTGGCACACACTTATGCACGGTCCAGGAATACACATACTGGTACCCAACACATACCTGCCTGCCTCTTCCATGGAGGCCACCAGGGAGAACTGGGATGGATGTGGGTGGGTTGATTGGGTGGGGGCCAGGAAGACGGGAATCAGGGCAGCCAGGGGAGTGATGGGGTAGCCCTCTCTCTCTCCCAGGAGGCAGCTGGATCCAGGTGACTCTAAGCTCAGACACAAGACACACAGGTACAACACTCTCGGGCCTTACAGCGTACCCTGCACCTTCCCAGGTGCCTCTCTTGGGGGAATAGCAGGCCTCAGGCAGCAGGGGGCAAAGTTTCTAAAAACAGATTTCCCAGAGAGCTTGGTAAATCCTGGGCCATTACAATTTATTCCTTGGATTTGCTTCTCAATGCAGTCTTTCCAGGCTGAGGTGTCACTCTGGACGTGGAACTCTGAAATTCTCCCCA